GGCGGGCTGGGGGGTTGGGGGCGCGGTGGCCTCAAAGACCTCGTCAGCCTTGCCTTCTCTGTCTCACTCCAGCGTCTGTCTCCTCGGCCTCTGAGCTCGTCGGGACCCTGCTCTCGGCTAGGTCGGAAGCATGAGCAGCAGCAACTTGAGTGCGAACGATGAGTTTGATGAGCAGTTGCGGATGCAAGAATTGTATGGAGACCCCAAGGACGGCAACCCTAAGGAAGATCCGGGGGCAGAAGCCGAGTCTTTGGGGCAACAACCTGATGACACCCCCTATGAGTGGGATCTGGACAAGAAGGCATGGTTTCCTAAGGTGAGGTACGCGAGTGGCACTGCAGGGTGGCCCAAGCCGCTCAGGACACTCCTTTTATGTTGTCTTTACTGAGGTCCTAGGTTAAAGCCTCAAGGATAGGAACGTTTCTTTTTGTTTCATCTACTGTGGAAAGGGGTAGAAATTTTCAGGGAGATGTTGCAAACGTAGTTCCAAAGTCTTTTGTGCCCCTTCTTAATTATGTTTGTAAAGGTCACACTTGGTTATTTCATTAATGAGTGCTTTTTTTTGCACGGAGGAAAAACCCCAAGAACAAATTTTGTAGCAGCTGATCTCAAATAGCCGACCTTACTTATCCTAGAATTTTTGTTTCTGTAAGATGTGAAAAGTTCATCTTGATTAATTTTTTAAAGTAACTTTATATATCTTTACAGAGTGAATTTTACAACAGTCTTTTCCTTCTTCCTGAATTTTGTAAGTAGGGATATGTATTTTAGCTGTATAACCACAAGACTATGATTATTGTTGTTGTTGTGTACCAGAGTCAAAACCGACCCATGACCCTCAGGAGGGTTTTCTGAGGCAGTTAATCGCACAGGAGGAGATTGCCCATCATTTTTCCATAGAGCAACTGGTGGATTTTAACTGTGTGCCTTTGGAATTGCAGTACAGCTTCTTGATGAGAAGTGTGCAAAATATGGATGGAAAAGATCTTTGCATATTTGTTTAAAGCATTTGGAAGATGTTAGGTATTTTATTTCAGCTTTAAAGTTTTTTTTTAAAAAACCCATACAAACAGAACAAAAGCAACTAGTGTTAAAGTTGGTTCTTTAAGCATGATGGTTAAAAGTATCTAGTTGATCTGAGTCTCACATGGATGAGAAGAAAAGGATGAAATAGTACAATAATATTAAAGTCTGTCAGGGATTTCGTTGTACTTGGACCCATAATCCGTGCCCATGGAAACAGCAGCCAGGAACGCAGTCGCATTGGCCAAATCTGCTGCAAAAGCCCTCTTTGAAGTGTCAGAAACCCATAATGTCACTTTGAGGTCTAAGGTGTAGTTGCCCCAAGCCATGTTTTGTGTTTTTTTTTAATCATATGCATACAAAAACTGAACAAGGAGTAAGAAAAAAAACAAAGAATTAATGCCTTTGAGCATGTTAATGCCTATTGGGCATGCTATTATGTTCCTGGAGAAGGAACTTATAATAATAACAACAACAACAAACCATACATCTCTCCATGGTGGAACTTGACTCTTATTTAAAACACTATTTCAACTTTTATCTTTCTCATTTTTCATCTGTCTATTCCAGTCCTTCCTAATCGTTAAAATTTACTGTTTCACTCCTGTATTGTTTCTGTTGTATCAGCTGCAATACAAATTTGATTTCTTCTGATTTCCAAGTACTTTTAACAGCAGTCTGATAAGAAATTAACTTGTCACTGTCTTTTTTTTTTATGCTTTGGAAGCCCATCACTCTTCAAACTTTGAGTTTTAGATTTCCCCATTTCTATGTGCCTCCTAGTGATTGGTATGAAGATAGAACTTTTTTTTTCTTTCCTTGTGCAATATTACCTGCAAAATGTTGTTAGAGAAAAGTTGGGTTTTCTCTGACTCCAAGTAATCCTGTAATTTGATTAGAGATTGAGTTAAAATGAGCATTTTTGTTTTACGAAGTTAGCCCTGTCTTCCATACACTAAATCAAGAGTCTATGGATGGATTTTCAAGTACTTAATACAATAAGATGCTTGTTTGTACAGAGAGAGTAAGATTGTCTGTGTTAGATTGTTTGTCCATAAAATTTCAATTTGACTCTTGATTTTTATTTTGTTACAGTGCTAACTGATATTTCCTTGTTACGTTGCTGGTAGAGGACAGCAATTATAAATCAAAGAACTAGAGAGGTGCAGGAGCTTTGGTGACGTAGTCCATAGGAAGTTGCTTTCCTAACCAAAAAGCTACCCTGGGAGAAAAACAATCACCTCCTATGTGATTGACAACCTTAGAAAACCTACTACAGAGTCAGCGATGTGTCTGTTCCAACTTTAAAACAGACAGGAGTTTGAGATTTCTGGAGTTGTTTTGAGAAAAGGTACCAACATCACTTTAGTAGTATCTTGGACTTTTGTGCTGAAAATCCCAATACCCATGCCTCTTATTTTGTGCCTTTTCGGACAGTGTTAACTATGTTGTTGTTAGGTGCCATCAAGTTGAATAGGACTTCTAGCGACCCTCTGAACAACAGACCTGAATCCTGTCCTATCCTGTACCATCCTCATGATCTCTGACACACTTGAGCCCATTGCTGCAGTCACTGTTTGTCTGTGTCATTGGGGGGTCTTCTAATTTTCATTGACCTTCCACTTCTCAAAGGACCCTTTCCAAGGAATAACCTTTCCTAGCAATACATCCAAAGTATGAGAAATGAAGCTTCACCATCTTTGTCTCCAAGGAGCACTCAGTCGGTTTACTATACAAAGTGACTACAATGGTTAAGCATTTAGCTGCTAGCCAAAAGATTGGTGGTTTGATTCCAGTAAGCACTTTACAGGAGAAAAATGTGACAGTCTGCTTCTATAAAAGTTCCAGCCTTGGCGAGCTCTGGTGGCCTAGTGGCAAGAAGCTATACTGCAATCCCAGAGGTGTGCAGTTCAAATCCACCAGATGCTTTGCTGGAGAAGGAGGAACAATCTCCTCCTGTATCAGTCAAATCTGATTTGACGGTACACACACACAAATAATAAAAATAAATTAAAAAATTATATAAAAATTTTTTAAAAAATTCCAGCCTCATGTAAACATTATGGGGCAGTTCTGTCCTGTCCTATAGGGTCACTATGAGTTAGAATTGGCTTAATCAATTTGGATTTGGAGATTCTTGCATTTACATTTTAATTGAGACAGCTATTACAGAAACACTTCTACGTTAATGTATATACTTTCATCTGCTGCAGTTTGACATAGTCGAAACTTTCTGTGTTGTGCTCCATAGAGTTGAAACCAACCCATAGCCCAACTCTCCACTGGGTTTTCAGAAGCTATAAATCCATGGGCCGGGGGAGATCGCCCATCTTTTTTCTGGGGAGCAGCTAGTGGATTTGAGCCACTTGCCTTTGGGTTGGCAACACAGCTTCTTACTACTTACTATGCCACCAGAGCTCCCTTGAAACTTTTAGAGGAGACTGTAAACTTGACTCTAGATATGTGTGTTGATTTTCTTGTTTAGATAACTGAAGATTTCATTGCTACGTATCAGGCCAATTATGGCTTCTCTAATGATGGAGCGTCCAGCTCTACTGCAAATGTACAAGATGGCAGTGCTGGTAGCACAGTAGAACCTCCTCAGAGAAAACTGCCCGAGCCCACTGAGCCCAAAAAGAAGGGAGAAAAGAGAAAAGCGGAATCAGGCAAGTAGTTCTTGTAAAACACAAATTTAAAAAGAAAACTGCATGTGGAGATTTGTGTACATGTATGAAAATTTGGGAAAATTATAACAGCTTTGGAGCTATGAGCTGGTTTTTAAAAGATAGTGTCACACCCTAAAGAACCAAGATGGGGGTGGGGGGATGGGCGGGGAGAGAAGTGCAGCAATGAATGAATGGAAATCCAAAATCTCTGTAAATGCTCATTAAAATTATTTTTTTTTAAAAAAAGAACCAAGATAAAGTAGCCACCATATTGCAGACAGTATTCTAAAATTAATAATCTGTCAAAAGATTCAAATACTCTGAAAAGCTGGACAGTGATTTATTTGAATTCTTTTGTCTTGCTCTTCTGAAGTAAGAGAATGTTCATGGGGAGTTTTGAGAAATTGTCATGACTCCTGCCTTTCCTTGCAATGTATTTTTATTTTTGCGTTTTGTTCTTTAGGATGGTTTCATGTTGAAGAAGACAGAAACACCAATGTGTATGTGTCTGGTAGGTATACCTTTTTAAACCCATTTAATGTTGAAAAGATTCAATTTTGAGATTTTTTTTTTTCAAAAAGTGTTTTTGGTTTTGACTTTATTGAAAATCTGAGGGTTTTTTGTTATTGTGTTATATAATACAACTATAACTTTGTGTTCAGCTGTGTACATTAGTGAGGTATATAATTTTGTGTATGTAAAATTATGTATATATAACTTTGCATGCCATCCATTCTGCTTGCTTGTAATAATTGATGGCAGCTTGCCCCTTCAGGTTCAGTGATACAAGGCCTAAGCAAAGCACGATTTTAATATATACTTGAATACAAGAAAATGGTACAACTTCCTCAATTCAATGTAAATGTGAGATTTTTACATAATATTTAGAAAATCAGAATTGCACTAAGGTAAATTGTAACTTTCCAGTTAGTCATCTCACCTTTATTGTAGATGCCTTTGTAATTTTTAGTTTATTAATGTTACAGGCTTGCCTCCGGATATTACAGTAGATGAATTTATACAACTCATGTCCAAGTTTGGCATTATTATGAGAGATCCGCAAACAGAAGAATTTAAGGTCAAGCTTTACAAAGATAATCAAGGAAATCTGAAAGGAGACGGGCTTTGCTGTTATTTGAAGGTTAGTTATGTGGTCAGGTGACTTTCTCAGTCACCAAACCAGTTGAATTGTCTCCCACTCATGTGTGTCAGAGAACAACTGTGCCCCCTGGAGCATTTTGATAGCTGATTGTCCAGAAATAGATTTTCAAGACTTTTTTCTGAAGTACTTCTGGATAGATTAAATATCTCACCTTTCTGTTAGTAGTTGAACATGTTAACCATTTGCCCATCCCGGAACTGTGGCTATAATCTTTTGTAGATGATAATCAGGGCAAGGACTATCTAAAGTAGGATATAAAGGCAAACAGGAATTTCACCTTGGATCTGTATGTATCACATTGGTTAGGTTTGCTCATTGGTTCAAAGTTACATAGCAGCTATAAAATATATAATTAATTCAGAATACGTGTTTTAAAAAAAGCCTATAGTGTTTATTTTCCCCATTGGAATGATTTAGACCAACATTTGGCAAACTCTGGTTCACTGCCTTTTTGTAAATAAAGGGTGTTTTTTGGTGTATTTTTTTAAACACAACCATACTTTGATTTCTGCATTTGTCTGTGATTATTTCCATGCTCCAGTGGCAGGGTATTTGTAACACGGACTTCATGTTCCATGCAACTTAGAATAGTTGCTGACTGTTTCTTTGCAACTTAGAATAGTTACTGACTGTCCTTTGACACGAGAAGTGTGGTGATCTCTGATTTGGATTATAAAGAAGATAATACTGCTTTGTCATGTTTTTAGCATAGGAGAGAGGACAGAGCAGAGTAACAGTGATACACAAGTCTTCATGCATTCATGGTATAAATGATACAAGGAATGTTCAGTGCCAAAGGCAGTCATTTCTAAACAACTACCTATAACCTTAGGAGCATGTGTTATGCACGAAAGAAATAAACATGATACTGACATATACATACACCAAGAACCTGAGCATCATTACAAAGTAAACTCAGAATTATAAAGCAACAAACACTGTGTGTGTGTTGAAGGTTGACCAACTTGCAGTGGGATCAGAAGAGAGTAGGATTAAATTGACATCGACCTAGATCTCAAACAGGTGAATACGACATGAATGTGGCCATTATATAGAGATAGTTGGTAATGTTCACATGTGGATAGTTTTGCAAGCGTTTTAAGGATTATTTTTAAAAATCTGTTCATAGATTCTTAGATTTGATTGGATTGTAAACTTTTTAAAGGAAAAAAGATGATTTTGAAAAATTTCACACATGCAACTTAGGACTCATGAAAATATGACATATGCAAATCAGTAAATTGAGTTCACAACGAATATTTCTCATTCTGCTGGGCTGCATGTCTGAGGTGAGCAGCTGAGCTCATCTATTCATATGTGTGCTCCGCAATTCCTCAGAGTTTGGACTATGTACCGGGCTGACAGCTTCCATAATAAGATTCCAAATGCACGAATGTCTTTACTAGACATACCATCAAATAATCACTTTTTACTTCTCAATATATTACAGAATTGGGCTAGAATTTAGTTGGTAAATAAAAAAGAATAGAAAGGCAGCTTAAGATGTTCCTAGTTTCCTGAGTCACATAATTTTTTTTAATTATACATTTTTTTAATAATTATACTTGTTTATTTA